AACTTCAGTTTCATTTGTACTTTCACCAGAAGTCCATATTTGCATATCTGTATTGTGCAGTAGAATTACAATAACAGTGATCTACATCCACAAAGTTATGGGAATACTGATGGAGTTTGGAGGGACATCTGGACCTGACAGAGTATTGATATATGGTGTTTCCAAGAACTATCACGCTTACATAATTGAGATAATCTGTAAGTTAAAGGGTAAATTAAAATGAAAAGTGAATTTAGGGAAAAAAGACTTAAAGATCCTTTACCTACTATATCTCCAGGGGATAGTGTTTTGTTTATTTGCTGTTTTTATCTTAAGTCTGATAAACTCTATCCATCAATTTCCCTTAGTTAGACTTACTTCTTAAATCAAAAAAAGTGTGAGGAGCTCATTTGAAAAGAATTGAGTGTGAAATGAATAGGGTGAAACTGAGGAGTTTCTATAATTTTATACTGCACTTCTTTAAAATAAGCTAATTTAGCACAGAATGAAAACATTTAGCAACAAAATAAGCATGTGTTCTTTAAACAAGATAAAGAGACAGATGAGCATAGCCCCAAGTAAGAAATAGAAAATGTGTTTCATTAAAGAAACCACATGTTTTCTGAAATTATGCATATCTGAATATAAATTCTAGGAGAGCTGGCTCAGTCAGTGATCATTCTATCAGAAAGAATGCAGCTTGGATCAGGCTGTGCACAAGTGGATAAGATAGGGGTTAGGAGTTCTGCATGTGAATTTTTAATTTCCTCTTTCTTGTTAAACAGGGGCACAAATTCTTAGTAGCAATATGCCAGAAGGTTTCTCCTTGCCCTTTTGCATGAACTTTGGTTAGAAGAGTGAATCGTTCAATTTTAGGGAACCAGTGCTCAAAGGATGCTCAAAAGAGATTAGCAATATTTGGAATCATAGAATCTTAAGAATTGGAAAATACCTTAGAAAATATCTACTCTACCTTCTATATAGATAGGAATTATTTATATGACATTCCTGATCTGTAAATACTTAAATAGTATTCCAAATGAATTGTTGGTTCATAGACACTGTTAGACAGTTTTCTCTGCTTGTTGAATTATATTGAGTTGCTTTTGTTTTCTATAACAAGTTATACATTAGTCTTAATTTTCCCTTGGAATCAACAAAAAGCAATTCTTTAATATGCTAGTGTTTCAAATAATAGAAGAGACTATTGTGTTTCTCCATAGTTTTTTTCTAATTTTAGTGTTCCAGTGCTTTCATCTATCAGATAATTTTAACTATATGATGGTTTCTAGAAACTGGAATATCTTTGTTATTGTCATATGGAGTTTTTAAATGTCCCCATTGAGAAACATAGTACTGGGAATTTTTCATGGTATTCCACATGTAGTCAGAGGAACACAAATTATTCCATAATTTCACAGCCCACAATCTGACTGCTATGTTTCTGTTACTATTATATGATTGCATGAGCTGGTGAACTGTTAACTTCAAAGCTTTCTACTTCTTTCATTAAACTTAATTCAGCAAATATTTAGCACCTAACAAGTGTAATGCACTATGCTTTATGCTGAGAGTTTGACAAAGAGATCCAGCTATGGATTTTTAGAACATAGCTTAAAATATAGAAATAACAGAACCCTGGCCAAGGGTACATAAAATAGGATAACAAAAACACATTTGTAGAGTTTTGCCAATTCCAATCATGATAATTAAATTTTAAACTGAAAAGGAAAGAGAAAAAAAGTAAATTGCCTACATGTAGCTAGCAAACAGGGTACTATCTAGTAGACACTATATAGAAAGAAGAAGTGATCCAGGAGCTCTTAAGAAATAAATCCATGAAATCAATTAAACAAGAAGCATTTATTAGCTGCCTGCTATGTGCCAATCACGGTGCTTGGTGCTGGGGATGCAAATAATGAAACAAAGCTTTTTCCAGGGGTATCTATTTTAATGAGAAAAGGACCCAGCAATAAAATCCATGGCCTTACAAATTTATACACAAGTGCACAAAGTATGGATAAGAAATGAGAAGAACCAGAGATTTTAATGCAAGGAAATGTATTTCAAAGGTATCACTGTGACCAGTGGCAGAAATATGGCTCCAAGAGAAACTATGAGGATAAAAGGAAAGAATAACATTGTGTCTTAAGTTACCTTATTCACAGAATTTGAGAGTTAGAGAAAATCTTAGCAGTCATACAATCCAACCCATACCCAAAAGAAGTTTCCACTATAACATACACAAGTGGTCATTCAGCCCCTGCTTATAGACCTCCAAAAAATTCACCACCTCTCAAGCCAAACCATTACATTTCTGGACAGTTTTAATTGTTAATAATTTAATTGTTACTATCAAATCTAAATTGGCTGTTTGGAATTCTTACCCATTGCTCCTGCTTCTTGCTGTCTGGGATCAGGTATATCAAGTCTCTTGCCTTCTCCATGTGACTGCTTTTCAAATATTCAAGGTAGTTAACCACTCCATCAACAATGTATTACTGTCTCAATTTTTCCATAATCTTTCCAGTATTTGCATTTTCCTTTTCTGTCATGTTAGCTAATCTAAAAGATATGAGATAGTATGTCAGAGTTGTTTTAATTTGCGTTTCTCTAATCAATAGTGAGTTAGAGTATGTTTTCATATGGCTATAGATAGCTTTGATTATTTCATCTAAAAACTGGTCATATCTTTGATCATTCATTAGTTGTGGAATGGCTCTTATTTTTATAAATTTGACTCGCTTCTCTATATGATTCAGAAATGAGGCCTTTATCAGAGAAACTTGCTTTAAATTTTTTTTCACAGTTACTATTGCTAACTGTATTTCCCTCCATCCTACTCCCCCACTTATTCTATTCTCTCTCTTTTTTTACCTTGTCTGTCTTCAAAAGTGTTGTGCTTCTGACTTCCCCCTCCCTTCTATCTGCCCCACCTCCTTCTCTTATCCCCTTCACCTCCTTCTTTCCTGTAGGATAAGACAGATTTCTATACCCAATTGTATGTATATGTTATCCTCTCTTTAAATCAGTTCTGATAAGAGTAAGGTTCATTCACCCTCCCTCATCTCCTCCCTCCTCTCCTCCACAGTAAAAGCTTTTTCTTCCCTTTTTTATAAAGTGAAATTCTACCTCTCCTTTTCTCTTTCTCCCAGTACATTCTTCTCTCACCCCTTAATTTTATTTTTTTTAGATATCATGCCTTCATATTCAATTCACACCTTGTACCCTCTGTCTATATATACTCCTCCTAACTCCCCTAATAATGGTAAAGGTTTTATGAGTTACAAATATCATTTTTCCATGCAGGAATGTAAACAGTTCAACCTTAATAAGTCCCTTATGATTTCCCCTTTCCTGTTTACCTTTTCATGCTTCTCTTGAGACTTGTATTGGAAAGTCAAATTTTCTATTCAGCTCTGGTCTTTTCATCAACAATGCTTGCAAGTCCTTTATCTCATTGAATGTTTATGTTTTCCCAGAAGAATTATACTCAGTTTTGCTGGGTAGGTGATTCTTGGTTGTTATCCTACCTCCTTTGCCCTCCAGAATATCATAGTCCAAGCCCTCCAGTCTTTCATGTAGAAGTTGCTAAATCTTGTGTTATCCTGATTGTGTTTCCACAATACTTAAATTGTTTCTTTCTGGCTGCTTGCAATATTTTCTCCTTGACCTGGGAACTCCGGAATTTGGCTACAATATTCCTAGGAGTTTTCCTTTGGGGACCTCTTTCAGGAGGTGATCGATGGATTCTTTCAATTTCTATTTTACCCTCTGGTTCTAGAATAGCAGGGCAGTTTTCTTTGATGATTTTTTGAAAGATGATGTCTAGGCTTTTTTTTTTTTTGATCATGGCTTTCAAGTAGTCCAATAATTTTTAAATTATCTTTCTTGGATATATTCTCCAAGTCAATTATTTTTCCATTGAGATAGTTCACATTGTCTTCCATTTATTCCTTCTTTTGGTTTTGTTTTATTATTTCTTGGTTTCTCTCATAAAGTCATTAACTTCTACTTTCTCCATTCTATTTTTTTTTTTTTGGTGAGGCAATTGGGGTCAAGTGTCTTGCCCAGGGTCACATAGCTAATAAGCATCTGAGGCTAGATTTGGACTCAGCTCTTCTTGAATCCAGGGCCAGTGCTCTATCCACTGCACCATCTAGCTGCCCAACTCCATCCTATGTTTTAAGGAATTATTTTCTTCAGTGAGCCTTTGGACCTCCTTTTTCCATTTGGCCAATTATGCTTTTTAAGTCATTCTTCTCCTCACTGGCTTTTTGGACCTGTTTTACCATTTGGCCTAGTCTGTTTTTTAAGGTGTTATTTTCTTCAGTATTTTATTTTGTGTCTCCTTTACCAAACTGTTGACTCATTTTCATGATTTTCTTGCATCACTCTCATTTCTTTTCCCAATTATCTTGTCTATCTCTCTTACTTAATTTTCAAAATCTTTTTGAGCTCTTCCATGGCCTGAGACCAATTCATATTTTTCTTGGAGGCTTTGGATGTAAGAGTTTTGACTTTATTTTCTTCTTTTGAGTGTGTATTTTGATTTTTCTTGTCATCATAGTAACTTTCTATAGTCGATTTTTTTTTCTGTTATTTGCTCATTTTCCCATCCTATTACTTGACTTTTAACTTTTTTAAAAAAATAGGGCTCTGATTCCAGTGTGGAGGGTGTAATGTCCAAAGCTTTAGGGGTTTGGTAAAGCTATTTTCAGAAATACCTCTACAGACCTGTAAGTTTTCAGTTCTTCCAAGGTGGTATGATCTAAGAAGAGGTGTTTATTACTCTCCTGGCCTATGCTCTTGTCTTTGAGAGACCCCAAGCTCTCTTTTCTGCCATGGAACTGTGAGGAGGGCCCCCCCTCTGCTGTGTCTACAAGCTGTGGTGTGCTATTGCTCCTCCTCACCCAGGGACTACCACCTGTGACTGTGACCTGGATCTGAGTATGGACAAAGAAACAGAGTCCTGTCTCAGTGCTTGCAAAAAGATCCCTGTAATCTCCTTCTGACACCAGTTGTTCAACCCCATTACTACCTGTGGGCTGAAAGCTCTGGAAGCAGCCACTGCCATTGATGCTGCTGATTTAGTTATTCTCAAAGCTCACTCCTGCTTTGCTGGGTCTGGGTTTGTGCTGGTGCTGCCTGTGCTGGACTCTACTCCACTCTCATCCAGGTGTGACAGCCTCTTTCTGCTGACCCTCTAAATTGTCTTTGGTGTCTGTGAGCTGAGAAGTCTGGAAACCACCACTGCTGCCAGTGATTCAGTTGCCTGAGGCCTGCTACAGGTTTTCTGGGGTTTAGTTTGTACTGGTGCGGTCTGCACTGGACTGCATTTCTCTCTCACCCTGGTACAACAGACCTTTCCTACTGACCTTCCAAATTATCTCACACTGGGAATTTGTTTCCCTCCATCTTTTTGTAGGTTCTGCTACTCTAGAATTTGTTTAGAATCATTTTTAAAAGGTATTTGGAGGGTTTGGGGGGAGAGCTCAGTTGATTCCCTGCCTTTACTCTGCCATCTTGTCTCTGCCCTTCCCTTGATATTCTTGACATATTGTTATTGCAGGTGAATTTTGTCACTTTTTTTCTCTAATTCTATAAAATATTTTTGGTTGTTTGGTATGGCCCTGAATAAGTAAATTAACATAGGTAGAATTGTCATTTTTATTATATTGGTCTAGCCTCCCATAAGCCCTTGATATTTCTCCAATTATTTAAAATATGGATTTATTTGTGTGAAAAGTGTTTTGTAACTGTGTTCATATAGTCCCTGAGTTTGTCTGGGCAGGTAGACTTCCAAGAATTTCATATTGTCTGCAGTTATTTTAAGTGTATTTTTGCATTCATTTTTATAAGATTTTGAATTCCAATTTTTTTCTCCCTCCCTCCTCTCCCGTCTTCCTAAAATGGTAGGCGATTTGATATAGGTTATATATGTGCTATCATGTAAAATATGTTTGCCTATTAATCTTGGTTGAGAAAGAAGAAACAGATCAAAAGGAAAAAAAACACAAAATAAAGATGCTTCTATCTGCATTCAGAGTCCATCAGTTCTTTATCTGGATGTGGATAGCATTTTCCATCACGAGACCTTTGTACTCATCTTGGATCATTGTCTTCTGAGAAGAGCTAAGTCATTCATAGTGATCATTACACAGTGTTGCTGATAGCATGCGCAGTGTTTTCTTGGTTCTGCTCATTTCACTTTGCATCAGTTCATACAAGTTTTTCCAGGTTTTGAAATCTGCCAGCTCCTCATTCTTATTGCACAATGGTATTCAATTACATTCATATACCACAAGTTTGTCCAGCCATTCCCCAATTGATGGGCATCTCCTCAGTTTCCAGCATTTTGCCACCACTAAAAGGACTGCTATAAATGTTTTACACATGTGTGATATCCTTTTCCCTTTTTTATGTTCTCTTTGCGATACAGACTTAGTAGCGGTATTGCAGGATCAGAGGAAATTCAGAGTTTGGTTGCCCTTTGGGCGTAGTTCAGAATTGCTCTCCAGAATGATTGCATCAGTTTACAATTCCAACAACAAAGCATTAGTGTCCCAATTTTCCTACATCCACTCCAACATTTATCATTTTCCGTTTTTGTCATATTAGCCAATCTGTGGTGGTACCTAGAGTTGTTTTAATTTGCATTTCTCTAATCAGTGGTGATTTAGAGCATTTTTTTTCATATGACTATACATAGCTTTGATTTCTTCATCTGAAAACTGCCTATCGATATTCTTTGACCATTTATCAATTGGGGAATGGCTTGTATTATAAATTTGACTCAGTTCTTTATATATTTTAGAAATGAGGCTTTTATCAGAGATTTTTGCTGTAAAGTTTGTGTCCCATCTTTCTGCTTTCCTTCTAGTCTTGGTTGCATCGGTTTTGTTTGTGCAAAAGCTTTTTAAATTTAACATAATCAAAATTATCTGTTTTACATTTTGTAATGCTCTCTTTCTCTTGTTTGGTCATAAACCTGTAACTCACTTAATTTCTTCCCTGAGTGTTTGGATTCTAAACCATTTGGTGCATATATGTTTAGTATTGATATTACTTCATTGTCTGTGATAACTTTTAGCAAGATACAGTTTCCTTCCTTATCTCTTTTAAAGATCTATTTTTTGCTTTTACTTTGTCTGAGATCAGGATTGCCACCTATACTTTTTTTTTACTTCAGCTGAAATGTGATAGATTCTGCTCCAGCCCCTTACCTTTATTTAAAGTGTGTCTCTCTGTTTCAAGTGTGTTTCTTGTAAACAACATATAAGATTCTGGGTTTTCATCTACTCTGCTGTCTACCTCCATTTTTGGGAGAGTTCATTCCGTTCACATTCACAATTATGATTACTACCTGTGTATTTTGTTCCATCCCATTTTTCCTCCTGTTTGTCCTCACTGTCCTTTCACCCTTTCCCTCCTTGGAAGGGTTTTGCTTCTGTCTACTGCCTCCCCTGATCTGCCCTCCCTTCTATCAGCCCTATCCTTTACTTAATCTCTTTCTCTCTTACTTTCCTAGCAGATAAAGCAGATTTCTACATTCAACTGATTGTATATATAATTCCCACTTTGAGCCAATATTGATGAAAATGAGTTTCAAGCTATGCCCAACTTCCACTCTTCCATCTTTCCCTCTACTGTAACAGGTTTTTCCTGCCTCTTCATGTGAAGTAATTTACCCCATTCTACCTCTCCCTTCCTTCTGCACTCAGTGTACTCCTCTTTCTCATCCTTTGATTATTTTTATATCATTCCCTCAAATTCATCTTATAATTATATCTTCTATGTATATTCATTCTATTTTTGGAAATTGTAAGTATGATCTTCCCATGTAGGAGGCATGGAAACAATTCAGATCCATTGAATCCCTTATGTTTTCTTTTCCCTTTTTAGGCTTCTCTTGGGTCGTGATATTGGAGATCAAAATTTCTGTTCGATTCTGGTCTTCTCCTTATGAAAACTTGAAAGCCTTCTATTTCATTGAATGACCATTTTCTCCCTTGGAGTAGTATGCTTAATTTCACTGGGTAGGTGATTCTGGCTTGCAGTCCAAGCTCTTTTGTGTTCCAGAATATAATGTTCCATGAACTCTGAGCCTTTACTGTTACAGCTGCTAAATCCTGTGCAGTCCTGACTGTGGCTCCCTTATATTTGCATTGTTTCTTTCTGGCCACTTAGAGTAATTTTTTTTCTTGACTTAATAGTCTGTAATTTCGCTATAATGTTCTTTTGAATTTTTATTTTGGAATCTCTTTCCTGAAGTAATCAGTGTATTCTTTCAGTACCTATTTTGTCTTCTTGTTCCAGGATATCAGGGCAATTTTCCTTACAATTTTTTGAAAAGATACTATACAGGTCTTCCTTTTGATTATGGCTTTCAGGTGTTCAGTGATTCTGATATGTCTTTCCTGGATCTGTTCTCCAAGTCAATTGGTTTCCCAATGAGGTATTTTACATTTTCTTCTGTTTTTTCATTTTTTTAAAATTTGACTGATTCTTTGTGTCTCATAGAGTCATTAGGTTCCACTTTCTCTATTCTGACTTTTAAGGAGTTGTTTTCCTCAATTACCTTTTTTTACTTCCTTTTCCATTTGGCCAACTGTACTATTTAAGGAGTTGTTTTCTTCATTAGGTTTTTGTAGCTCCTTTTCCATTTGGTCAGTTCTACTTTTTAATCAGTTTTTTTCCATTTCTAAGCTGTTGACTCTTTTTTAAAATATTTTTTTTTGCATCACTCATTTCTTTTCCCAATTTTTCTTTTATCTTTTTCATTTGATTTTTATGTTCCTTTTTGAGCTCTTTCATGGGTTCTTTTTGGACTATTAACCACTTGCTGCTTTTCTTTGGGGTTTTGCCCATAGGTGTTTTGACATTGTCGTCCTCTTCTGAGTTTGTGTCTTGATCTTCCCTGTCACCATAAAAACTTTCTATAGTCAGATTCTTTTGGTTGTTGGTTTTTTTTTTACCTTTTTTGATCTTTTCACTTTCTTTTAAATTTGCTCTCTACTCCTAGGATGAAAGGGGCACTGTCTCAGGCTTTTTGTGCCAAGGGCTACAGGTCCTGGCTATTTACTTAGTGCTGCACTGATGTTGCCCTGAGGCCCTTGGGACCCTTGTGTCTGGTGAAGACTGAGGGGATGGGGTGGGGAGTGTCTGGTGCTGCTGGAGGCTGTAGGAATCTGGTAGCTTTCCTGGTGTTGAGCTGAGGTCCTAGTGGTGGTGTCTGGCATGTGCTGAGGCCCAGTGGAGTGTTTCTGCATTTCTTTGGGGCTACACTAAGGCACACAGAGGTTTGGCCACTGGGTATTGCCTATTTGCCCGTGGCTTTGCTCAAACACATGACAGTTCTCAGAGCTGGAGTCTGCCTGTTCCCCTGGTTATGCTCAGCCACGTGGGGGATCCTATTGTTGGTGTTTGTCTGCTTCATCACACTGGGCCTCAAGATCTCTTGCTGGTTTGCTGAGGTGAGGCTTGCTGCTGGCTTTCTGAGGTGCTTTCTGACCTGGACTGAGTTCACCTTTTACCCAAGTGAGACAGACCTTTCATGCTGATCTTCCAAAATTCTTGGGCTAAAAGATTGTTTAACCCTGTCTTTCTGCTGATTCTGCTATTCCAAGATTTGTTTTGGGGTGCTATTTTATGGTTGTTTGGCAGTGAATATAGGAGAGTTACAGCAATTTATTGATTACTTTTCTTATTTGATTTTTAAATTCCTTTTTAAGTTCTTCCAAGAACTCCTTTTGTGCTTGGGACCATTTGACATTTCTCATTGAAAAAGGAATGACTTTTTTATTATCTTCCTCTGAATATGAACCCAGATCTTCTTTCTCCCCATAGTAACTACCATTGGTTGGGTTCTTTCTCCTTTGCTTGCTCATTTTTATGTATTTGTTTATTTTTGTTTTATTTTGTTTTTAATAGCTATCAGTGCAATCAAGTTGTAGTCCTGGGTTATGGGGAGTGATGCCCCAAACCTCAGTTATTGTTATTTTCTGAGGTCTGTTTCAGGGCCCAACCTTGGGCTGTCCTCTCCACTTCTAAGCCACAGCTGGAGCCCCCAGCCACACTATCCTGTAAATGATCTTGCTCCCTGCAGTCTCTCCTGTGGCTACAAACTACAGCTGTACTCTCTGCCCCACGGCTGAAATTAGGGATTCTGTTCTCCTGCAAGTGCCCACAACCAACAAGGTCCCTGTTTTTCACTATTGCACTCACCAAGTGTGTGCTAACTCCCTCTCCCCACAGCTGTGGCCTGGAATGCATCTGGTCAGTAGAGCTGTGCTTGACATCCCTCAACAGTGGAAGGTCCTTCAATCTTCTCCTACTCAGCTGTCAGACCCCCACACTATCTTTGAGATGAAAGTTTCTAAAGCTGAGGTTGCCTCCTGAGACCCAGCTGCCCCCAGGGCTTGTCGTTTGTTGATTCTGCAGAGCCAGCCTGGAGGTGTTTTTACTTCACTAAGGCCAAACCTCAGTTCCTGGAATTCAGGTCTATTCTGGGATCTTCTTAGATTGTTTTAGGAGGACAACTGCTTTACCTCCTGTTTATTTCTGCTGCTCTGAGGTGATGTTCTGTCTTTTTGTGGAGGAAATTTGGAGAGTCAAAAGCTTTCTGACCTCCTTAGTCATCTTCCCAGAATCCTCTGGACAGTAGGACATAGAGATTGTATTTTATGGGGAGTTGAAGATATGAGTCTTCAGCTAAGAAGAGAAGTCAAAACTGGAAATGTAAATCGGAGTTATCTGTTTAGAAATGACAGTTGAAGCCACAGTCACTAAGATATGTAAAGGAGATAATAAAAGAAGAGAATAAAAGAGAGCCAAAGAGCCAATATGGTACAATGCTCAGAATGTCTTCTCTGGGTTCAAATCCTGGCTTTTTCATCTATTAGCCTTGTAACTTTGAACAATTCACTTTCTTCACTGTGCCTTAATTTCTTCAACTATAAAATTGGACCAGATAATCTCCAAGGTCCTTCTAGTTCTAAGTCTTTGATCCTTTGAAGACTCTTGAGGAATGTCCAAATTAAAACATTGGGAAGAATTTGATAAGTCTACTAAAGAGAAAACAGTTACAGAAGTTTGGAGGGGAACCAAGAGAGTATTGTTTCTGTCATGACAAAGGAAGAGGGAGAATTATATTGCCTCAGTAAGCAATGAAAAGTAATAGAATAGTATATCTATCAGCTGAGCTAAGTGGTCTCTCTGGTCCTTTCAAACACTTTCATGCAATGTGATTCTGTGAAAGTGTGTCCTTCAGGACAATATAGTAATTTGTGAAAACTGAGGGGAAAAAAATGAGTGATGAGAACAGTATTTATGAACTTGAAGAGAAAAATCTCAGTAATATGAACTCCGCTTGCAAAGATTTGAGGAATCTAGGTAATAAGGAGGTAAAATCATCCCCTAGGTGTAAGTAACTATATATGTTAATGACAGCTGGCTAAGCTAAAAAGTTTTTTTTTGTTTTTTGGGGGTTTTTTAGTATTAA